TTAACACGGATCAGTCGTCCTGTCCCCTTGGCAGAAAAACAGCCCCATAGCAATATGTTTCCACCCCCATGCTTCACAGTAGGTATGGTGTTCTTGGGATGCAACTCAGTATTCTTCTTCCTCCAAACACGACGAGTTGAGTTTATACCAAAAAGTTCTACTTTGGTTTCATCTGACCACATGACATTCTCCCAATCCTCTGCTGTATCATCCATGTGCTCTCTGGCAAACTTCAGACGGGCCTGGACATGCACTGGCTTCAGCAGCGGAACACGTCTGAATAGAATAGAATAGAATAGCCTTTATTGTCATTGTACAGAGTACAACGAAATTGGAGTGCCACTCCCTTGGTGCAAGTTTCAATAATAAATATAAATGTAAAATATAAAAAGTACAAAAAAAAAAACAATCGTAAGTACTCAAACAATAGTATGTACAATATATACAGGATAGCAGCATTAATATGATGACAGTATGAATAGCAGCATAATATAATGACAGTGACGGTATGGAATAGGTTCAATTGTTTTTGTGCTTATTTACTACGGTGATAGCTCTGGGAAAGAAGCTATCCCTGAATCTGTTTGTCCTGGTTTTATGTGACCTGTACCGTCGGCCTGACGGTAATAGTTCAAACAGTTGGTTGCTGGGGTGAGAGTGGTCCTTGATGATATTGCCAGCTCTGCTGAGGTACCGAGAGTTTGCAGTGACCTCCAGGCTGGGCAGAGAGCAGCCAGTGATCTTCTGGGCTGTGTTGATGACCCTCTGCAGTACTTTCCTGTCTGCAGCTGAGCACCCTGCATACCATGTTGTTATGCCGTACGTTAGGATGCTCTCTATGGTGGCTCTGTAAAATGTCACCAGCAGCCTCTCCTCCAGGTTGTTCCTCTTGAGCACTCTCAGAAAGTGGAGACGCTGCTGGGCCTTTTTAACCACCGCTGTAGTATTTGCAGTCCAGGAGAGGTCATCAGATATCTGCACGCCCAGAAACCTCATGGAGTGTACCCTCTCCACACAGCTCCCGTGAATGTAAAGTGGGGCCGGGTCTGCTCTGCCCTTCCTGAAGTCCAAGATAAGTTCTTTAGTTTTCGTGGTGTTCAGTTGGAGGTTGTTAACTGAACACCACTCAGTCAGTCTGTTGACCTCATCTCTGTAGTCCGACTCATCCCCCCTTGAGATGAGTCCAACCACTGTGGTGTCATCCGCGAACTTTATGATGGTGTTTGAGAGATGGGTAGGGGAGCAGTCGGATGTGTAGAGCGTAAACAGGAGGGGACTCAAAACACATCCTTGTGGAGACCCGGTGCTGAGTGTGATGGTGCTGGACCGGTGGGGGCCGAGTCTGACAGACTGTGGTCTATTTGTCAGGAAGTCCTTGATCCAGAGGCAGATGGGGGTGGAGAGTCCCAGGTGAGACAGTTTCTGGACCAGGATCTCCGGGATGATATGATTGAATGCTGAGCTGAAGTCCAGAAAGAGCATTCTCACATAGCTTCCTCGGTGCTCCAGGTGACTCAGCGCAGTGTGGAACGCTATGGTGATAGCGTCCTCGGTGGAACGATTTGTCCTGTAGGCAAATTGGTGGGGGTCCAGAGTGGGAGGCAGACCGGCCCTGATGTGCTGACAGACCAGTCTCTCAAAGCACTTCATCACTACAGACGTAAGTGCAACAGGCCTGTAGTCATTTGGGCTGGCCACAGCTGTCTTCTTGGCGATGGGGATGATGGTGGAGGTTTTGAGGCAGGGTGGGACGGTGTTTGATGACAAGGAAAGGTTGAAGATTTTAGTGAAGACTCCGGTCAGTTCGTCAGCACATGCTCTGAGAACCTTTCCATGTATTCCATCAGGACCTGCCGCCTTCCTGGGATTCACTGACCTTAGAACACACCTCACTTGGTGCTCCCTAAGTGTTAGTGTGCCAGTGCTGGGGCGGGTGGAAGTGGTGTGGCAGCTGAGGGCTTGGTCGTCTCAAAGCGGGCGAAGAAACGGTTTAGATCCTCAGCCAGTGAGGCATCAGTCCTAGATGTTGCCTGGTTATTGCTTCTGTAGTTGGTAATGTGATTGATCCCCTGCCACATTTTTCTGGGGTCGTTGTCAGCAAAGTGATCTTCAATCCTCCTCCTATAGGCAGCCTTAGCTTTCCTGATGCCTCTACTCAGGTCTGCCCTGGCCGCCCTATACGCAGCCCTGTCCCCTGACTTGAAGGCAGTGTTGCGGCTTTTTAGGAGGGATTGCACTTCGCTATTCATCCAGGGTTTTTGATTTGGAAACACCCTGACCCTTTTGTTGACGGTGACATTGTCAACACAGTTCCTGATGTACGAGAGTACAGTGTCCGTGTACTCCTGGAGGTTGTGGCTGGAGAATAAATCCCATACAGTTGTTGAGAAGCAGTCCTGCAGTTGAGAAAGGGCTCCTTCAGGCCAGGTTTTTATTGTCTTTGTCTGGGGCTTTGTTTTTCTCAGCAGGGGGGTGTAGGTGGGGGTGAGGGACATGCAGAGGTGGTCAGATCCAGCCAGGTGGGGGAGGGGTGTCGCTCTGAAAGCATGCCTGATGTTTGAATAGACATGGTCCAAAGTGTGTTCTCCTCTCGTAGCAAAGTCCACAAACTGGACAAATTTAGGAAGCACAGTCTTTAGGCACGCTTTGTTAAAGTCGCCGGCGACAATAAAAACCCCATCGGGGTGGGCAAGCTGTTGTTTGTTTATGGTGTTGAGCAAGAGGCTGAGAGCCGTGCTAACGTTAGCATCCGGCGGTATATAAACAGCTATCACAATAACTACTGTAAACTCCCTCGGGATGTAAAAAGGTCTGCACGAGACTGCCAGAACCTCCAAATCAGGAGAACAGTGTGTGTGAATGATCCTGCTGTTACAACACCACTCGTTATGCACGTAGACACATAGCCCCCCTCCTCTGCTTTTACCTGAGTTGCTGTTTCTGTCAAGCCGGTGTAGCGTGCGGCCTGCTAACTCGACTGCAGCGTCGGGAATCAGCGGGTGAAGCCACGTCTCCGTAATAAGAATAATGCTGCAGTTACGTGCAAAGCTTGTGTTGGCTATCTGTAGCTCCAATTCGTCTGGCACTGCGGGATTTGATTCCCTGCCGTTGTAGTGTGTTACTGATGGTGACCTTTGTTACTTTGGTCCCAGCTCTCTGCAGGTCATTCACCAGGTCCCCCCGTGTGGTTCTGGGATCTTTGCTCACCGTTCTCATGATAATTTTGACCCCATGGGATGAGATCTTGCGTGGAGCCCCAGATCGAGGGAGATTATCAGTGGTCTTGTATGTCTTCCATTTTCTGATGATTGCTCCCACAGTTGATTTTTTCACACCAAGCTGCTTGCCTATTGTAGATTCACTCTTCCCAGTCTGGTGCAGGTCTACAATACTTTTCCTGGTGTCCTTCGAAAGCTCTTTGGTCTTGGCCATGACGGAGTTTGGAGTCTGACTGTTTGAGGCTGTGGACAGGTGTCTTTTATACAGATGATGAGTTCAAACAGGTGCCATTCATACAGGTAACGAGTGGAGGACAGAAAAGCTTCTTACAGAAGATGTTACAGGTCTGTGAGAGCCAGAGATTTTCCTTGTTTGAGGTGACCAAATACTTATTTTCCACCCTAATTTACGAATAAATTCTTTACAAATCCTACCATGTGAATTCATGGATTTTTTTTTCACATTCTGTCTCTCACAGTTGAAGTGTACCTCTGGTGCAAATTACTGACCTCTGTCATCATTTTAAGTGGGGGAACTTGCACAACTGGTGGCTGACTAAATACTTTTTTGCCCCACTGTATGTATGTATGTATGTATGTATATGTGTGTGTATATATATATATATATATGTATGTGTGTGTGTGTGTGTGTGTGTGTGTGTGTGTGTGTGTATATGTATATATGTGTGTGTGTGTGTGTGTGTGTGTGTGTGTGTATATATATGTGTATATATATATATATATATATATGTGTGTGTGTATATGTATATATATATATATATATATATATAACTTCAATACAACTATAGAAATACATCACAGCATCTTCTTACTCAGCTTAATAATTGTTCTTGGCACAAACGATCCCTTCCTACACCTTTTTGCTAGCTAGAGGCATGCAATCATGTTGTCCTAAGGGCATTAATTAATGGACAGCAACAACAGACCGGGCTTTTCCTTAAGACAGCCTGATGATACAGCTTCATCATTTTTTTCCCCTCCAGTTCTTACAACCCTGTTCAGTTTGCCCCTGATTACCACATTGAGATATTGGATATAAGGACACTTTCAATCAAGCTAACAAACTCTTTCCAAAAACATTGTGGCTAACGCCAAAGCCTCTTAACACCCTGATCTCTGATTAGCTTTCTTGTAAATGGAATCAATATATGTTTCCAGATTTAAAGCGAATAACAACTTGCACAGACTGACCAGGAAGTGAAACACCTTTTACGGGGCCTGGGTCATTCAAGACATGCTGTTTTGACAACATTAATCAACAAATGAGCCTTACACAATTCTTCCAGCCTGCGTACCTCAGCAACCTAGCCTAGTAAAAACAATAAAACCTACAAGTGCAGACATAGGTCACATTTTTTTGGTAGGCTCTCATTTTTTCCACATTCCTTCAAAGGCATGTTTGAGTTGGTTTCGGGATTAAAGGACTCATTTTGGGTAAGTTCAGTACCTGTCGGTGATGGTTAAACGTAGAGGTGAGGTATACTCTCCACACAGAGTGGAGCAGAGCACAGTCACCACATGGGAAACATTCAAAAACTCAAATGCTATATGTATGACAAATATGACAAATGCTCATCTAAACAAGTCATCTCATCCACTTCAAACCTGCCAAATTTGAAGTGGATCAGATCAAGTGTAGTCGAAGCAGGCAAAGAACCAACAAAAAGGCAGATTTTTAAAAATATGTATTAAAAAGCTGAGCAGAAATTTGTAGTAAAAATCTGTCTGTCTGTTCTTTGTTTCAGAATAAGGACGTCCTTCTGCCATCCCATTCTGCCTTATCACGCATTTCATAACGCCCACGCAGGATCTGTTTTTTTAAATTCTAGCACAACCTGTCTCCCTCTCCCAGAGGGGAAATCCCAACAAACGATGGCTGTTACAGGGGAGTGGTTTGCTCCAACAACAAATTAAAGTCATCCAGAGCTTGAGCTTTCAGTTATATGCAGGTGTTCAGTAACAAAACACAGGTCTTCATCCTGCAGATGCGCAGAACTTGACAGGTAAGCCTCTGGAACCTAAGAGGAAGTTTTCTGTTTAATGTAGTAACAGGACATATTTAATAATAATCTGCTTTAATTGAAGAGTACTTAGTTTAAATTTGCACTGCGTTTGGGACTGAGTGGTGTTAAAAGGCAGCATTGTTCATAAGTTTGCTTACGTATTCAAACTGTAAAGTTCATTTGCATATAAACTGATCGCCGCTAATCTTTTATGTTTCTAAATAGGCTTAAATCCAACTGCTTTTAGAGCCTTTTTTCTTACTTTAATACTTTAATGTACTTTATTTGCATATAAATTTGTTTTCAGTGTTTTAATTTCGACTTTCACCTTGAGCTGCAAACATAAACTAGTAGAATTTAGGTGGCTTTAGTTGGAATAAATGTTTTGCAGTTATGCATAAAGTAAAACCTTTATTTTGAAATGCTTAACAGACACACCTCAGTAACCCTGTGTAGGAGGAAACCAGTTGCGGGGCATTTTGTGCTGCAGTTGTTCCTTGTTTCTGATCCTGCGTTAACAAGCAGAAAGGTGAGCCACCTGTACATGTTTCACTATCACACACCTGCTGTTTGTTTTTCATAAAATTTATAGTAATAGGCAGTTTACCCTCCAGGTTGTGTGTGTGGAGGGAGCAGCAGAGAAAACTGACAGAGAACGCTAGCTGAGAATCAGTGAATGACTCCGTAAACATGCTGGATTCTAGAGGGATTGAAATCTCAGGAGGCCAGACTCTGCTGGCCTCTCCTTTCGGCTCGAGTTTCAGAGGTGAGTTTGTGTAATTTCAGTAAACTGATAACACATTCACTGCTCTAAAAAGTCTGAAACTCTAACCTCACACATTGTTTTGCCTCCAAACACCTTATTCCACCTGTTTTATTTTTCGAGATTCATAGAACGAGGAAGTCAGACAGACTTGGGAATGTTAAATTAGTCGCACTGTTGACTTTGTGTGCCAGGCCTAAAGCACACCACATGACTAAATGCTTACCTAATCAACCGAGAGCTTTTATTGATAAATGAACTTTACCCCCTTACTGCATGCACTGTTTCCTATTTTTCACTGAAGAATAAATACCTGATGCTTTATGCGGTGGCACATATTTACAGTCCATGTCCAGGCTAGTAAAACTTCTAATTTCACTACAGGGTGCTCATTCATCGATGTGAAGCCGCCACCGGTGAGAACTGTGAAGCAAATGCTAATGATGAAACGTAAAAATCTACAGGTATGGCCCTGAGTGCAAGTAGACCAGTAAAGTACAGAAAATAGAACATATAGAAGGCTTCATCTGAACTCTTTATAAAGGTGCACATGAGCGTGTAGTCTTGAGTTATGGCAGTGCTTTGAGTTCCTCCAGTATGAGGAAGAATTGGCAAAATTCAGAGCCAAGTACAAGTTGTTGAGAAAAGTCTGCATGTAAAGGCAGCCCAAATGAGTGTGTTTATTATGAATAATAACAACCCATAATAAGCCAGTTATTAATATTCCTAGTAAAAGTTGACATTGATCCTCTTGTATTAACAGAACTGCTCACAGGACAACTACAATTTGGAGCATAAACGCATGTCTCCAAAATACGAAACTTCTCCCACTGGTGTGAATCATCATCAGTTAAGCCCTCCAGTGCCTGTCAGTCAAAATACCACCACCCTGTTTCCAACTGCTGCTCCTGAAAATGCTCCAATGAAACAAGAGTTTCTCGTAAATCAACAAATGCAGCACAGCTTCGAGTATCCACCCCTGCACGAACAAAGGACCCCGTCTCCTGAAGGCAGGATGACCTTGTTTCAATGGCAAATACAGCAGGAGGCACGCAAAGTTGAAGGAATTTCCCTAGAGCAGCTGTCCATGCAGGACTCAGATGGTGACACGTATGTATACATGAACGAAAGCATTACCCTGACCAGTGGTTAGTTGAATAAAGATCAGTGTCATAGAATTAGGTGAGAAGATTAAATAGTAAACTAAAAAGTAGAGATACAATTGTATGGGCAGACAGAGCTAGGTCAAAGTAAAAAGCTACATGGGTGAAACTACTAAAAGTCAAGGCTGATCAGCTGAAACAGGTTAAAGTAACAGAACAGTGGAAGGCTAAATAGCACCCCCCCCAGCAAATGTATAGCTAAATGGTTAAAAGCTAAAAGGTTCCAATATCTACAGTTATCCGGTAAAGTGACATAAATATGAAAATAAGCTAATGGATCATTGATTTTTAAACAGTTAGATAAACATATTGGGTGAAGAGTTTACAAAGACAAAAGCAAACAATTGAAACGGATCAAAATATTCAAATGGTTGGGAAAAAGATGATTAAATGGTTATAATATGCAAAGGTAATGGATAACAGGTTGGAGCGGTTGGAAAACAGGTAGAGAAGTCACACGAACACTAGGTGAAAGTTATTGTTTTTAGGGTAAACAATTAAGAAAAAAAAAAAAAAAAACCGCAGACAAAGGTGGAAATCATTGAGGAGCAAATGGAAAATAGCTCTAACAGGCCTACTTGGCTAAAAGTGCAGAATAATTATTAGAAATCACACAAATGTACAGTAAGCCTGACCCAAACACTATGAACAGCATTTCTGTGGATTTCTGCTGCAGCTGACCTTTTTACTCCTTCCACCAGATTCCTTCACATAGCAGTAGCAAAAGGTCTGCGTGCTCTGGCTTACGTGCTCTCTGCAAAAATGGCTGGAACTTGCTTTCTGGACATTAAAGAACACAATGGGCAGGTAAAGACATTCAGTGGCTTGTGATTGATGGTGGTTTTCATACATCAAGACACATTAACCTGTAAGCTGTGTTTCCACAGAGCCCTCTCCAGATCGCGGCTACCACCAATCAGTACTTAATTCTCCAAGACCTCATGGCTCATGGAGCTCAGGTCAACACGAGAGACTGCTGGGGCCGTGCTCCTTTGCATGTGTGTGCTGAGAAAGGCCACTATCTCACTCTGGGGGTAAGAAATCACTATCAGTATTTACCTACCTACCTGCATATGTATATATAGATTAAATGCTGATTAAAAGTTAAAGCATAAACTTAAAGTTGACCTCTTTAGGCTTCAAATATTCACTAATTTAATCTAAATCATTCCATTGCTAAGCAGTGTAAGATTATACTGTCTAGCAACTTTTCAGAGCATTGCTTTGGATCAACACGAAATTTTTAAGTTAGCTTTAAAAATTCTCAAACTTTAATTGCTGCTATCAAATACAAAGTGGCTATACAGTGTAGACATTTACCTAACAAATGAAATTCCCTGCACTAATCCCTTTGGGATTGCATCAGAACGGCATCTGGTGTTCTTGTTGATGCAAAATAAGAAAAATATTTGTGGTTGTTTCTATAGCAACAACAGGCTTAAACACACAAGTTTAAGATGTAAAAAAGGGTGATTGTTCAGAGTATAGTATTCCCATGATACAACAGTAGGACAAAGTAACAGATACTGTCGTATCTCCTAGCGAGATGGGAGTGGCACACCTGTCTCACTATTGCCCCAATCCAGGGCGTGAAGCTCTGCTGGCAAATGACACCTTGTGAGTAAATGAGCCACGCCCATGGAAAACGGCATTAGGTGATACCTGGGGATTGAGAAAGGCTGGCTAAACTCCAAACGCAGGATTCATTTCTTTTGTAAAACATAATTCAGCTTTCATAATAAAGTCTGAAGATTTTCACTGAAACCACAACACCAAGTCGCATAGATGACGACAGTCTTGCCACGTTTAAGCATCACAGGGCCAGAATTGGGACAGCTTTCCTCAATGGAGTGCTTACAAGTAGGGGAAACAGAACTTTCTGATTCTGAGCAGCAAAACCAGAGGGTTTAGTGTCAAAGAACTAATCAAATGTCATAACCTAAACAGGAGACAGATATCGGTGTAGGTCAGTAATCCAGTGGTCATTGTAGGCGCTGAAACTGGCAACTAGACATACTTCAGTTTTCAAAGATGATCGAAGTCCCATATTTTTTAACCCCTAGTATGGTTACTACCGTAGAGTGTGTCCTGAGAATTGCTGACCCATCCCATTCATTGTTAAGAGTTAACAAGAGTTCTGCCATAAAGACAATATTTGACGTCCTCCCCTGTACCCCTATTGACGAGTTCTGACACTTCAGTATATATCATTAAATTCAAGGGTTACTCCTAGTAAGGTTTCTAGAGGGTAAAGAGTTAAGGCTGCATGATAACAAACCCACTAAAGGTTTAACTGAAGAAGGCTCTTGGATGACAGGTCTTCTAAAACAAGAAATTGAGTAAGTCTTTAAGTCTTGTCTTGAAGACTATAAAAAAAGAGGCCTTCATCTCAAGCCCTTAAGACAACAGAGATACACAACTCATCTTGTTAATGTATAACATGCGTATTGCTGAGAGTTAATGTGAAACACGTTGCCTGCTTCCTCAAATGTACCAGAGACCTTTGTCTTATCACATGGCGCCAAAATTAATAATAAACCCGGACTCTGATCCACTTCCCCTGCAACTGTGACAAATGTAGGCCAAATAACGTTTTGTCAGAATAGAATTTAGTGTTGCAGTCATGCTTTTTTTTTCTAGTTGTATTAAGAATATTTTCTTAATCTCACTCATATTTCCGCAGGGCATCTGGAAGGCCTTAAAAGGAAATGGGGAACTGATCGATGTAGAAATGTTCAGTTACGATGGTGAGTGTGTTTTTGTGTGACTGAAAACTTTAGGATGCTTAAATGCCTTTTTTGTGATTAAATTCTGTAATTTGTTTCTGTGTCTGGAAGGTTTGACTGCTCTTCATTTGGCCGTCTTGTCTCACAACAATGTTGTGAAGGATCTGAGGAACCTGGAAAATCCCTGCACATTCATGACCGCGGAGCTGGGGCAGCGAAAGCGCTTGTACTTTGAATGTATCAAGATTCTGCTGAACATGGGCGCCTCCTGTGGGACAAAGGTAAGTATTACCACTTCAGGGGAACATTTAGCTGGCTTGGTCCTGCTCCACACCAAACTGCTCGGGTTTTCCCGTCTCTTGTGGTTTGGTTTAAGATACAGTGATCTAAATTTCCAGTCTGGTTTTCATTTGGTTTATTTTTAATCTCTCCAGGATCTGAAAAGTGGGCGGACTTCTCTCCATATGGCTTCTGAGGAGGCAAATGTGGAGCTGCTGAAGATTTTTCTTGACCAGCCAACAATGCTGTCCATTGTAAATGTTAAGGTATGCCTACTGTTTCATGACAAAGAATATGTTTAGGGTGGATTGCTGCCTTTTACAAGAAACCAGAGAGAAAGTTTCCCAGCTGTCACAGCTCCAAACTGCGCCCATAAAAACTACACAAACAGTAACATGTGGTGTCTTTTCCACTCCTTTCAGACGTTCAGTGGAAACACGGCGCTGCACATCGTCAGCTCTCTGACCAATCACAAAACTCAAGCCGAAGCGGTGAAGCTGCTTATGAGAAAGGGAGCCGATCCTGGGATTAGGAACTTAGAAAATGAGCTGCCGTCTCAGCTGGTACCTGAAGGTCCTGCTGGGGAAAAGGTAAGGGTGTCACTTCACATACATGCTGGAGGAATTGCAGATGGCACTGTTTGCTGACTGAAATCAAAATCAAATTTTTTTCCTGCAGGTGCGGCAGATCCTGAAAGGAAAACATGTTAATGCTTAAATAAAGCTGAAGAACACTGTCAGTCAGACAGTTGAGTATGATAAATATGATTTGCCAAACAAGGCAGATGGTGGTTGTTTCAGTGAAACATGTCGAGTTGTTCATTACGGTGTAATGCTTACAAAAAAAAAAAAAAAAAGTACTTATGTAAAATTTTTGTTACTTTTATCAAGTAGGGTCAGTGTGATTATTCTTTACAGGTTTTAAGAGTTTGGAAAGGAATCTTGGGGTTGTTTTTTTAAATTTTTGAATATTTTAGCACCAAGTGAAATCCTTTTGTTAATGCAGTGGAAAATATTTACCCATCTCATCAAGAGATAGTACTTTGAAAGGTATCAAATGATTTCTTTTTTTCCCCGGCATATTGGGCCAAAATGTAACAACTGGTGCATCCCTCATCAAATCTACACTTAATTTTCTAAGCTTAAATCTTTGTAAGAGTTCTAATCCTAAATATCTAGGTAATGTTTTGATAATGATATGCAAAATGTGGGGAAAAAAAAATCACTGAACCAACTTTTTTCTAACTATGCAATTACACTGTGTTGTTTTTGTCTTCATGACTGTGTGTTATTGTAAAGGTAACTATTGTGATGTGTGAATTGTCTTGTTTTACATTTTTAGTTAAGTTTCAACTATATGGTTGTAAATAGGAGGGGTGATATAGAATTCTGGGACTCTGCCTCATATACATATTAAAAAATCAAACAGGCATGATTTAAATTTGGGCAATCACCTGTTAATGTCTTATGTGCATCTCCAACACATTGTGGAAAACCTCCAACTCCAATTTTGGAGAAATGGACGAAGTCACCTGGAGGAAAATTTGACTAATATGGTGCCGAATCCCAGAATTTTTACTACAATTTCTAATTTTCTAAACATTTTATTAATGTTACTGCATGTGATTTGCGTTTTCTCAGTACTTAAAAGTAATGAAGTACACAAAACATTTTAGGATTTGTTGCTGTTAATGATGAAATGTCAGAAATCATGTACAGAGGGGAAGGTGGTGGTTACAATCTGTCCAAGGACTGATTTTCTTCAAACAATGATGTAATCACTGTCAAATATAAATATAGAAAAAAAACAAAACAAGCTGGACAACAATAAAGTCTCTTAGTCTTGGCAATTTGGCTCTAAGATCCTCTTTGTCCTTCAAACTAGTTGACCTTGGAGTTTAAGCATGCTTCGGCTGAATTTATTTCTTCTTCTTCTCCTGTGTGGTGGTGAACCACTGGTCCAGCAGCTTCTTACTATAGTAGATCTGCCAGCCGTGAACCTGCACGGCGATGACGATCACCAGGTACATGACTGACACGGCGCTGAAGCCGAAAATGAAACGGTATGCTTTGCCGTGGCGATAGAGCTGCTGAGCCACGGGGAACATCTCCATGCTGCCGTAGATCAGTGGCGCCACACAAAAGAGCCCGGCGCTGATCATGGAGATGACCAGGTAGCTGATGTTGTTACGGGGCAGTGCCAAGAAGCTGAAGACTGTGGGTATTATGCTCAGTAAGTAGGGGTACTCCCACTGGTATGGAGAGGCCACCACCTTGTGGGACACCAGGTTCAGCTGGCTTACCGTCACCTGAGAAAGAAATGAAAACACATTCAACTTTTACAGAACGTAAAACATGCTTCTGCACAAGAATGCTTACCTGAGCTGCCATCAACACCCAGATCAGCAGATGGACAATGTTGAGCTTACGGATTTCAGACTTCAAGGAAACACTGTGAACATAAAAGAAATAATAAAAGAAAGACCAATCAGATGTTAGATTTTAAACGACTCAAAATTTAGTGGATCAAAGTCTCCTAAATACAGAAACCTTTGCATAGCAACAAATCACTCACTCAGAAGAATCTCTTAGATATAAATTACTATATACTTATTTAAGCAGGCCGATGCTTCTGATGTCTCAGAAACAGTACTTCTCAAAAGGCTGTATTTGCTTTGGCTTGTCCATCCAGAAGGAGTATGAGCTTACGCAACTGCAAGAAGCCTGTGGGTCCATGATTCAAAAGAATCACGACTTCTCCTGCAGCATTACTCAGAATTTATTCAAGCTTACAATGATCACCTTGACCGACATTGTGCTCAAAGTCATATTTGTTGTTTTACAAATAATAACTTGTGAAACGAGATGAGATAATGACCACATCCCGTCCCAGGTCAGACAGGTTGTGCAGCGTAACTTTTCCTTTAAATGTTGATCACTAATACATACAACCACTGCAGAATCATCAGTATCTCTGTACGAGGCATGACCTGGACTTTTCCTGAAAGTTTGACGTGTATGAGCTGAACAGGAATGGAGGCAGCAGAGTCCCCATTGGAGCTTCTGCACATCACCAAATTAGATGAGCCACCACCCTAATTAGATATACTACCTTACAGACTGGCTGCAGTAAGTAGTCCATGAGATGCTGGACATGTTGACATGTTCCTGTAGCATCTCTCTCAGTAGCTCTTGAGAATAGTCTCTCCAGCTGATAGTTGTGACGCCAAATGAGATACTACTGACATTCTGGTTTTAGAACAGCTGTACTGCTCTTTTTAGCTTTTCAAATTAGTAGTTTAATACTTAAGACCAGTGAAGCTTGTTTTATTATTTGATTTGAATGATCAGGACTGTACACTGATGAAAGAAAGCCTTGAATGAACTGAGGTATACATTTTTATACTGTCATCTATATCAGTTTAGTTAACAGGGCCCTAGTTAACACTTAGCAGCTTTTAAACGAATTAAAACTAAAGTGATTCCAGATAAACACTACTAATGTTTAATTACTTGGGCACTTAAGTTAAAATATTAAAAAAATTAAATAAATATAATTCCTTAAGAGTTGAATTTGGGGATTATTGCTCATTTAATGACAAATAAATGAACCTCATCTGGTAGTGAGAGGCGACCCGCTCCCGGTGCTGGTAGTCACTGCCATCTGTGCCCGCTGCTCTTGGACCAGCCCGAGAAGCCATGATGGATATCTGAAGGCAAAACATGTCAGGTTTAACATCATCTAATGTCTAATTACACATCAGTAAGCCAGTCATTTCCAGCAATGAGCTGACTGCTCAGTCAGTCATGCAATACCGTTACTCTTATATTTTACACTTTAAAAGCTTCACGTTTGCGTTTGTAAAAGTGACAAAGCTCTAAAACGAGGGTGGAAGGGGAGTTTGCTCTTATTAAATCGCGGCATACAGGTGTTTAATTCATTAGTTATCTGCTAATGCTGCTAATGTGGCACGGGGAGCGTTTAAGAGTACGCTCCTGTTTCCCACTCTGCATGTCAGCTTAAATGTTTCAGAAGATACTTCGTTTTTACTTCAGCTGCCACGACTTATGTCGATAAGTTGAGTTACAAATTGTTTGGGAATGGCTAGGCTAGCAAGCTAATGCCTGTGAGTGATTCACTGCTACTGTAAGTCAAACAAAAGTAGTGTTAGCGAGAGATAAATACGAGTCAGACCACCGGCAATGGCATTATGTCGTCTGTTGAGACATCTGATATATACAACGGCACTTACCTTTTATTTTCTGCTACAGAATAAAAGCATTTAACCGTTAAAAACCTGGTTAACAACGGCTACAGAGCAGCTAGCTGGCCAGCTTCATACAAGGAAAGAGGGATGACAGACAGAATGTATGACGTGTCAAACCCTGATTGGTCTCTATCTTCTTGCTTTCCTGTGACTGTCATATGTTAACCATTTAATTCCTCTGATAAGCAGATTGCATTTCTCTGGATGATCTGATGACAACACACTGACACTGCTGCAGTCATAGGCTATTTTATTTTAAACATAAACTCACTGGCCACTTTATTAGGTGCTCCTGTTCTATTGCTCTTTACTGAAACATGTAATCAGACAAATAATTAATGTATTTAGGCATGTATACAGTCAAGATGACCTGTTAAAGCTCAATGCGAGTGTCAGAATAGTGAATAAAGGTGATTTCAGTGCCAGACAAGCTGAACATTTCAGAAACTGATGATTTACTGGGATTTTTCCACAAATGAAAAATTGTGGAGATCAGAGGAGAATGGTCAGACTGCACTGAGCTAATAGGAGGGCAACAGTAACTCAGACAACCACTCTGAATGCACAAGATGCCAAATGTTGGCCTACAGATAAGCTGCGGCAGCAGACGACCTCACCAGGTGCCGCTCTTCTCAGTGAAAATTAGACAATAGAAAATTGCCTGGTCTGATTTCTGCTGTGATATTTGGACCCCTCAGTGCCAACTGAGGATTGTTTAAATGTCACAGCTTGCCTGAGTATTATTGTTGACCATGTCCAGTCCATCCCACATGACCCCTTATGACCTATCTTCTGATGGGGGCTTACAGCAGAATAATGTGCAATTTCACAAAGCTCAGATCATCTTTAAACTGGTTTCTTGAGCATGTTAATAAGTTCACAGTAGTCATCAGATCTCAATCCAGTAGAGCATCTTCGAGATGTGGCAGAACATTTTGAGATTAACATTTTGGATGTGCAGTTCACATATCTGCGGCAATTGTGTGATGCTGCCATGTCAATATGGTCCAAAATCTCTGAGGAATGTTTCCAGCACTTTGTTGAATCTATACCACAAAGAATCAAGTCCAGACATGGTCCAGTTCAATTTTGCTGTGTTGATTAAGGTCTTGGCTACATGTTTTTCATTCTTGTTGATTGTTATTGGTGTAGGAATCTATAAAGCACAATGTTTTTGCTTTGCAAAGCACAAACATCATCTTAAAAATTAGGTCAAGACGAAATTTTATTTATTTTTTAATTTTTTTAAATTTTTTATTAAACCATCATATTGCCAAGAAAAAACAACAAAGATCAAAATTCACGTATTTACAGCACAGTTTTTGTCTGAAAATAAAGGAATATTAGGAAAAGTACTTTTAAAGAATGTCATACCAAAATGGCTTATCCTCAGTTTGGAAAAAACAAACAAACAAACAAAAAAAAAAAACCCACCCAAACAACCAAAGAAAAAAAGTGGCACAGTCATATGAATGGGTACTGCTATTTTATGTGTCCTGCATTTTGGAATGAATTCTCTATTTAGTGTTCAACACACAAGACAAATCCAAGTAATCAGTAGTCAGACAAATAAATTACAGAGAATACTGACAAACTCACACATACCTTTCAGTTTATATTTATTACAAAAAAACAACAAAAAACTAAGGACATCAAAGGGAAAATTCAAACTACTGTGGACAAAACAAACATGTATATTTTTTTGCTGTTCTGTTTTGGACTGTGTGGACTGGTGTGAAATTTAATAAAATAGCCAATGGTTATGTTATTGTTAAGTGAATAAGTGTGGTAAAATGCATATGAATATCTTTTCATATTAAAAAGCTCAACAATACAAAAAACAAAAAAAGTCTAACAATAATTTAATAATTACATGATGAACCCTAATACATAACCCAACTGTAATTTATAACTAAGAAAAATAAAGTGATAGGTTCTTACATGCCCAGTATGCGGTTTATAATTGTAGAACAGAAACTGCTGTCCTGTCAAGTGAATAAAAAGAAGATATACTGTAAATCTGCACTGTATGAGGAGTTATCAGAATCCATGATATACTCTCTGTAGATGAATATAATAATATATGTGTAATTAAGACAATGGAATGGCTAAAAGCCAAGTGATTTATCATAACATTTATATACAAATTTTGGCCATGGTTTTATAACTTCCCTTTCTGATATTTCTTTGTAAGTAAATAGAGTTGTGGTACATACAGTGTTGTTATAATAATAATAATAATAATAATAATAATAATAATAATAATAATAACTACAGTAAGAACTAAAGAAGATCTTCCCAATTCTCGATGTAACCCGTTTAACTTGACCTACATTGTACCTTGTGACTTAAGTAGTTTTATTTACATTATGGTCAGATCTGTGCTATTATTCTCACCTTTTTTTATATTTTATTACATAATGTACAGTAGGTATCCAGAAAACGTGGAGTGGACATACTGACCAGCATAAAGTCCTGCTGCCTGCTCCGATGGTAGCTGTATATGCACAGTGTCTCCTTTTCTTAATGGGAGTACAGCACTCCCTGAAGCCTGATCTAGCAATCCCTTTTTATACTCATCATAAGTGTACATAACTGGCTCATTATTCTTCATCAGTGCCACCCACACATTACTTCCTTTGCAGTGTACGTTGTAAGAAAAGTAGTAGATCCCTGGTATGCTACAGGTAAAAACACCATTCTGAGGACTGTAGTCCTGATTGCCATTGTGCAAGAGTTTGTCAAAGATGACAGGGGAACCCACAGGGGGGAATGGATTTGTGAGTTTAGCTGTGAATGCAGGCAGCTCAGGGCCATTTCCACCAATCTCACCTCCATTTGGGTTCTTGTAACCTTGTTTTTGGCCACTGTATGGGCCAGTCATAGGAAGGATCTGTCCAAGGTCAGGAAATGTAGCAGGTTGTCCAGGAGGTCCAGGGGGTCCAGGTTGTCCCGGTTGCCCTGGAAATCCAGGAGGACCACTGGGACCGGGGTTACCTTGTGGACCAACAAGACCTGTGGGTCCTGGGGCTCCCTCACCAGGATAGCCAGGTTTACCTGTTAAGCCTGCATCGCCTTTTCGTCCAGGAAGCCCAGGGGGTCCAATTGGGCCCCCTGGTCCTGCAAGCCCTGGAATACCTTGTGGTCCCTGGGGGCCTTTCTCTCCAGCCTGTCCTCCTTCTCCTCTTGTTCCTGTTAATCCTGCAGCACCAGGGGCACCAGGTAAACCCCTAACACCAGCTTCTCCTTTTGGGCCAGTGGACCCTTGTAAGCCTCTTGGTCCTGGTTGCCCACCCTCTCCTGATCTACCAGGCTGTCCGGGAATCCCTGGAGGACCTGTCTGACCCTTTATTCCTGGATTTCCTCTTGGTCCTATGACACCATCATCTCCTTTTAATCCTGGGAAGCCAAGACTACCAGGAAGGCCTATTGGACCTGGTGGGCCAGGTATTCCACTTGAACCAGTGGGACCAATGACACCTGTGAGACCTGGGTGACCTTTATCACCTTTTGGACCTGGTGCTCCAGGAAGACCAGCATGTCCCTTATGACCCTTAGGTCCTGGAAACCCTGGTTTACCATAACCTGGCAAGCCTGGGTTCCCTGGTAAACCAGGGAGACCTGGTTCCCCCTTCCCTCCAGATACCCCCGGGTGCCCACTGAAACCATCTTTTCCTGGTTTTCCAAATCCTGGTACACCTGGTACGCCTGGTTGGCCTCTTTCACCAGGTGCCCCTGCCAGTCCTGGTTCTCCAGGAGAACCAGGCTTTCCTGGTATTCCTGGATGTCCAGGAAGACCATTCATACCAGGTTTACCAATGCCAGCAATGCCCACCTGTCCAGGTGGACCTGGTGGCCCACCAGGCCCTTTCAAGCCTGGAAAACCAGGTATACCAAGTCCTTTGTCTCCTTTGGGGCCTGGAGGACCAGGAAGCCCAGGCAGACCTTTTTGGCCAGGCTCCCCTAGAGGACCTCGCTGTCCTGGAAGTCCCTGATCTCCTGCTTTTGGAATCCCAGGGAGTCCTGAGGGACCTGGAAGTCCTGGAGGCCCAGGAGGTCCAGTTACGCCTACATCACCATTAGGACCAAGATCACCTTTTGATCCTGGTAATCCAGGTCCTCCAGGTTTTCCTGGCAATCCTGGCATACCAGGTTTTCCAACTCCTGGGTAGCCAGAAGGACCAGGAGGGCCTGGCTTTCCTGGTAAACCTGGCAATCCCTGTCCTGGAAGCCCAGGAGGGCCTTGTGGTCCTGGTGGTCCTGTTGGCCCTGGGGTACCTTGAATTCCTTGCAGTCCCTTTGGGAGACCTTTTACCCCTGGAACAGGAGGGCGTGGACCTTTAGCTCCTCTGGGAAAGGTTTGTCCTGTCAAGGAAAATACTAAAAGAGGTAAGTGTTGACCCACTAAATAATGATCTGACATGATCAGTTATCAGCAGTGTTGGGAAGATTACAGAATACATGCCCCAAAATGTATTTTGTAACATATTCCGTTACGTTACTCAATGAGAGTAACGTATTCTGAATACTTTGGATTACTCAATATATTATCATGCTTTTTTACAACTACATGAATGTCCTATTGCTTTTTGCGACATTACTATTACTATTATGGTTACTCGCCATACCAATAGCAACTAGATTTTTAAATCTTAATATAAAATGAGTAACAGTAGGGTGGACATTTGGTACGGCTGCACTTTTTGCAGTCATCTCGTATAGAAAACTATTCGGTGCGTATATAAAACAGGTCCGTGGCTCTGAACCTTAGTAAAGGGACCTGTGGCTAATATGTCGGGTTCCGTGTCGGGCTCGTAGCCGAAAACTAGCTTTACTTTGTTGTCTGGGTCAACTTTGCTAGCGAGAGACAGAGAGGCGTTGAAAGGCTGCTCCAATGGAACTTATTGTTTCGGAGGAAAACACGAACACAGTGTACAGTGGAGTCTTAATAACGTACTTACAACTGAGCTCGTCAGGCACTCTTTTTGGCTGCAGTTGTTATTATTATATTTACATGCAGTTTCTGCTCACAGAGCAGAAACTGTTTAGATGTTTCTGCTCTGTGACAACTCGTACTTTTCCACTCACCTTTTTCTCCCTCCCTCGCTCACAGACACATAACGGGTATGGCAGTCCATTCTC